AGAGAGAGAGAGAGAGAGAGAGAGAGAGAGAGAGAGAGAGAGAGAGAAAGAAAGGGGAGAAAAAAGAAGATATTTTTTGTGCCAAAGTTTTAAAGCTGGCTACACAGATCATTCGCACATATTGTACTTCGATCTTGATATGACAATACATCGGCTAATAATTTACGAATAATTTATCATTTCTTGTAAAGTTAAAAAAAATCTTTAATTTAACATATTAAGATATACAATATACTTCAAAAAAAGATTTTCATTCTGATATAATAAAGTGATTTAATTCTGATGAAAATTTTTATCAGATTCCAAAAATTAATACATATATCAATATTAAGCTTTCCAGTTTCTTATTTTATCTTTTATCACCTCTTACGTGTATGCATCACGCATGTATATACAATGCTATACAAAAAAGACTGTAATAATAAACATGGACCAAGTTACTTAATACCTATCTCGACGACAGATTACGAATTTCTGCGATTACTTCTACTAAAGTAGAAATGTCTGCAAACTGATAATAAATGAAAACCATACGATTAAATAATGACTATTGTTTCGTAAAATGAGACAAACAGTGCACGCGTGATCTGGTTCATCGTGGGCTTCAAATAATCCTATTATTATTTTATTATTTATCATCATACTATTTATCGGTACTATATTATACGTACAGAATACATCACGGACATTAATATTGATTACATTTATCTTGCATTATACAATAGTAACTATTTATTTCTGTGTATAGATTATCTAAATCACGACATGGATATTTGGACATTAAACTAAAAATTTCTTAATCTAATGACTGAAACGCAGAAGTTTTAATTTTACTGTGCTAATAATAAGGTAAAAAAAAAATTTGTTAACATTGAGCAACAATTATTCGCTACGTAAGGCATTTTTCAGCACCACCTAACTAGAGATTTATCGCAAAATCAAATTCCACTATGTAAGAAATGCTTAGTTAAAACATAGACTCTGTCACAACAAAAAATAATAAAATTTTCCTGCTTGAAATGAATTTTATAAAGAGCAAATAACGTATTAAAATTACCTGTTTGTGAAGGGTATCTTTGTTCGGAAACTTTATCACTCCAAGTGCGAGTGGACTCATGCTGCTCCACCACAGTGAGTTGCTTTTTCAGGAGGTATTCGATGATGTATCCCATTGTCACATCTTCTGGCGACCTTCTTTCTGTCGCCGATAGTGATGAACTTATCGCCACTGAAACAAACGCAAACACGTCTAGGAGCTATATTACAAATAAAACACGTGATCACGTGAAAGCGCGATAATCGGACGTTGAAGCCTAACCGAAAGTAAAATATAAACATGACTAAGCACACACACATTGACGCGGGAACGGGCGTTTGATTTTTTTTTGTTTGCATAAATGGTCATCTAGAGTAATTTTTAATATTTAATATCATTATAATATTCAATATTTAAATATAGAATGCCTATTAGCATCAAAATTAAATCAATTATCAATTTAAATTAAGGAAAAAAAGTTTACTGTTCCAACAGAAACTGTGTTTTAAGCGATAAAGCGACAATCTGACAAATAATCGGCGCGTAAAAAAATTGTTATTTTACAAAATGGTGCGATGTTTTGACCGCATCTAAATACTCCCGCGGTGTACCGGTTGTTGCACCGACATGCAGGTCAGCATGACGGGTTGCTCATTCGTGCAGGCGCGCATGGTCATTCACAGCTACATTGGCTTCGGCACATTATAATCACTCACATATAATGCGCCAAAACCTATGCAACTATGAACGACCATGCGCGTCTGCACGAATGAGCAACTGACTCGTATGTCGCTGCAATACCCACACGGTTTGACTTGGGACAAAATACAAAAGATTTTCATTAGCTACATGCCAAAAACTAGAAAAATATGTAGGATTTTTGCGATACCTTAAAAACTTTTTTTGCAATTAACATATTTTTACACAAAAAATTTTAGGGAAAAAATGACTTTTTTCAAATGTTTACCATTTTTGCAAAACTCAATATTTTTAAAAAATCCTATGTACTTTTCTAGTTTTTGGCGTGCAGTTAATAAAAATCTTTTGTATTTTGTCTCAGGTCAAACCGTGTGGCAGAATTCATCGCAAGAGCATCTATTTAAAGCAGAGGCTCGGCACCGATGTGGCCAAGACACCGCCATTTTATAAAATAAAAAAAATTTTAATATTTTTTTTACATTTTAAGATTTATAATAATAAAGCTCTTATAATAGGTTTTTGATTGAATAAATTATTTCCCTGAAATAAATTGCCAAAGTGAGGTATTATTTTGAGATCTCAGAGGTGGTGTTCCCTTTTAAATCTATTCACTTTTCTAATTTTTACTTTGTTTCGAGATACATAATCGACCCTCAGTAAAAATGTAAAAATATAAAATCGGATCCAATATCGAAGAAACTTTTATTACTGTTTAACAAAAAAGTCTAATATAAATAAAAATTAAAAATATACATATTTTTTATGGATCCCATCATAGCAGCGTTTGGCATGCAATTTGATTCGAATTTCAATGATCACAAAATAGACTTAAAAACGTATGTTTTTGGGGTCACTCTTTATACACCTTAATAAAAGTAATATTTCTCATTTCGGATCTGAAACTCCGTTATTATTACGACACCACCACCATTCAATTTTCCAGTTGTTTGCTCTCAACGGTTGAAGATATATCACGATTATATTCAAATAAAAAATATTTCTTTTTTCAAGATCTATTCAACGATACGATATATGGAACACATACTATGCAACAAAAAGTTAAGACAGCAGAGCGGTGGTCATGGAATCCAGTAAGGAGTAATAACTCACCTGCCGAAGCAACTATATAGTCCTGAAAATGGCGCTGAAGCGTAGAGCCTATATTCTGCTGCCAGCGGCGACTGGAAGTACTGGAACAGCCGTGCGTATTGCCGTTGTACGTCTACGTGCCGCCATGAAGCCCTGACAAGTAGGAGAGTCGCGGCGGTGTGCGCAGAAGGGTCTGGGCGCGAGTCTACCTAGAGCCCCGCTATCGATCTTTCCCGGGAGTAATGGGAATTTCAGTTGCCATGGCGTTTCCCCATATGCCTGAGAACAATCACCGAGGGTGGAGGGGGGGATTAGTGAGTATAGGGATGCACCCCGATGAAGAGAGAAACAGCGGAATGGAACAGTAATGAAAAAGAGATATGGTGGGAGGCTAGCCAATCAGAGTAATTCTGTTTCAATTCCGTTCCGCTGTTTCTTTCTCCATCGACGGGACACACCCTAAATCTCACATACCCCTGTTACCACGGGATAAGGGAATTCATGCAAGGTTTTCCACCCTCCCTCTTCTTTAACAAAAAAAGGGTATGGATTCTCAATCAATAAAAAAAATATTATATGTAACATAAACTTCGTTTTTTTCGACACTGGGGTGTAAAAAATCACCCTTGGGAATCGATCACGCATCTTGAAAAAAAGTGAAAATTACAAAAGTGAACAGATTTACTAGATTTCGACATGAAATCATAGATACTCTAATGAATTTCCTCACTTTTGTTTTTGGGCTACCGCCTCTCTCCCGCAAGCAGGGATGGGTAGGGGTGAACCTCATTTCGTTTAGAGAGTTGAAAACCCGAACCGTATAATGATAGACCTCATTTCGCCCTGTAAGTAGAGATGGGATGGGGCAAAGTGGACCTAGCTTTGCGTGGAAAATATAATGCTATCCAGAAAATCATTTACGCAAAGTGAGGTCCATTTTTGCCCTATCCCATCTCTGCTTATAGGGCGAAACAAGGTCTATCATTATACGTTTCAGGTTTTCAACTTTTTACGCGAACTGAGATCTACCCCCACTCACCATTGCCTGCGGGAAAGAGATAGCCCCTTTCCCGCCTACATATGTACTATCTATATCTTAAGAACATATATATAACTGGAAGATGATTTGTCTCATTTTCATGACGATATCTTAAAAAATACAAGCGACTCTCAAATTTGTCAACAGTTTTGGATTCAGGGGGCAAGAATACATAAAATTTACCTTCTCTCAATTGATTTCTCGTATAGACCCTAATTGTGGAGTTTTACCAAATATAAAATCCGGATCCAGTATTAAAAAAACTTTTGTTACTTTTTAACAAAAAAGTCAAATATAAAAAAAAAATAAAAAATTTTATATTTTTTTGTCCCATTATAGCATCGTTTGGAATACAATTTGATTCAAATTTCAAGAGCCACAAAATAGGCTAAAAACCGTATGTTTCTGGAGTGACTCATTCTAAAGCTTAATAAAAGTAATATTTCTCGTTTCGTATATAAAACTCCGTTATTATTACGACACCGTCATCACCATTCAATTTTCCAGTTGTTTCTTCTCAACGGTTGGAGATATCGCGATTATGTTTAAATACAATAAAAAATGTTTCTTTTTTCAAGATCTATCCAACGATACGATATATGGGACATTATGCAACAAAGGGTGAAAACTGCAGCAGGGCGGTAGCCATGGAATCCGGTAAGAGTATGTTGTTAAAAAGTAAGTTGTTAAACTTACCTGCCGAAGCAACTAGTCCTGAATACGTCGCTGAAGCGTAGAGCCTATACTCTGCTGTCAGCGGCAAGTAGAACGACCGTACGCTTTGCTGTTGTACGCCTATGTGCCGCCACGAAGCCCTGACAAGTAGGAGAGTCACGGGCGCAAAAGGGTCTAAGCGCGAGCCAGCTGCCTGGAGCCGCTATCGATCTTTCCCGGGAATAATAGAAATGTCAGATGCCATGGCGAAACCCCATATGCCTGAGAAAGACCACCGAAGGGTGGGGGAGAGATTAGTGAGTATAAGGATGCATCCCGAGGGAGAGAGAAATAGGGGAACGGAACAGTATAATTGAAAAGAGATATGGTGGGAGGCTAACCAATCAAAGTAATTCCATTTCAGTTCCGTTCCGCTGTTTCTTTCTCCATCGAAACTCTAAATCTCACCCCTGTCCTGTCACCACAAAACAGGGGAACTTATGCAAAGTCCACTCCTCCCTTTCTTAACAAAAAAAGCGTATGAATTCTCAATCAATAAAAAAAATTATTGTAATATAAACTTCGTTTTCTCGACACTGGGATGTAAAAATCACCCTTGAAAATCGATCATGTATCTTAAAATAAGGTGAAAATTACAAAAGTGAACAGATTTACCAGATTTTGATATGAAATACTTCTATAAATACTATTCATAGATACTCTATTCTAATGAATTTCTTCACTTTTGTAATTTTTATCTCTTTGAGATAAAGTTACATGATCAACCCTCAGATGCCAGTTCCCAGATTAAACTTGAATATGACAAAGAAAATCTTTTCTATAATATTATTTGGTTACGAGGTCCTAAAAAGTTATTACGAAGGAATCTACAAGCTCGATCGAAACACTAGCGTGATTTCGATCTGTGTGCTATTACAAGGCATTTTCAACTTAATACCATTGCTCTGTGCAAAGTATCCCCAACTCTTCTGTACTTCGTCTAGTTCTTGGTCGTCAATTGAGTCGTGGAAGATTAGGTGCCACAAATTAAGAAGAAGAAGAAGAAGAAGAAGAAGAAGAAGCCTATTCTGTAACTCTCTACGTAATGTCTCTCATTACACAGAGACGATTATTACGATTACTATCAACAAATACTTAAATTACATTCCGTCTCACAAGAGAAATGTCTTCGATTTTCTTTCGTCACGTTCAGAATCCTTATCAAACACAGTATATTGTTTAAATAAACGATAAATATATGACAAGCGTCACGTAGTAAAGCCGGCACAATGGCGAATTACATGGCGACTGACGACTTATTCAACGTAGCGGAAATAATTCAGTTGCCATTTTGTAATATTCGAGGCTAACGGATCTAAGAGTCAATCAAATGGAGCAGAGCTATCGAACGTATTTAACATAGGAAATCGTTGAGCTTAAATGTGTGATACTTATTTGAATTTAAAAGTAAAAACCAATTGCGTTCGACCGATGTTTAATGGTTGCACTTTGTTGCTAAAAATCTGGCTATTGAATTTTATCTCTTAAATCTTAAAAACGCGAACAGAAGCGGTAGTACCAGAGCCCTCGAGTGGTCGCGTCTGATACTATATGTATTGATTGATGTCTGTTATTGCTATCTAATGATGACTATGAAGAGTGAAGAGATTATTTTCTTTAAGAGACTATATACATCTAGGACAAAGAAAAGTAGATTAATTTTTGACTATTTTTTTAGTAAAAAATTTGTTTAATTGAAAAATTGTTATGTACATCTTAAACTATATACTTTTATCTATTATTTTATTTATTATTGATTCTGTAAGTTTTATTTAAAAATTAATAAAAATAAGGATGTGACAGCCCCCCCCCATTTCCGAAAAGATTTTTTCTAAAACAGCTTCCGCTGTAACCAGAATATCTTCATTATATGAAATTTTACCTGAAATAAAAATAAAAATTTTTTTTCTCAAAAAGATTTATAAAACTAGTCCGTGACGGAGCCGATTTTAATAATATTGATTTCTCACAAAATTGCGGCCATCTGAATATATATGTGATTTTTTACTAAACACAGAAGATTCTTATAGCTGACGTTGAGAAAAATCTATAATTATCCATATTTCAGTGGATAACTCGTGAAGATATGATATTGCGAACTTTTCAATATTGCCGACATTAAAATTACCCAACGTTTATCACACAAAGAAGGTTGTATTTACATATCTCTCTCGTGCGTTCGTGCATGCGTATGTGTATGTAAAGGTTTCAATGCCTTTATACATAATGACATTCTAAATAAATTAATATTGTTATATATTAACTTCATACATTTATACCTTTTACTTACATAATTAGGTTTCAAGTGGGGTTCCGCCTTTCAATTGCTATTCTATTTTCTATTTCTTTGTTTCATGCTATTACTTGTATTCTATGTCGGCAATTGTTATTCAACATAAATTTTAACAATCTATAATTTTGAACTTTAGCAACACATTTTTTGGCCCCATTATTTTATTTACATATAACCAATCAATTCATTAAAATTTTGGTAAGTTCGGCTGTTTTTTTAAACAGAAATCGGTAACCCTTTTATTATTAGCAATTTTTATTAATTCTATTATATTTTTCAGTTTTTTCTACCCCTATTTCATATATAATTCGTTAAGATTTGGTTGATTAGTTCTGGAGTTATAACAATTTCGGTAAATTTGGCATATACATACATACATACACACATACACACATACACGACATTTTTTTTAATACGATATTTCGACGTTTTAGAACATAAGGAACACATTGGCATCGAAAACTAAAAAAAAAAACAATTTTCTCTTCGGTCTTTTCTACCCCTATTTCATATATAATTCATTAACATTTGGTTGATTAGATTTAGTTTTATATGCGATCAGAGATCCATATACGAAGTTTACGAAAACAAAGCTTCTTCTATGAGGAAGCAATAAACGACGAAAAGACATTAAATTAACTGTTACCGTGACAAAAAAAGAAATCTATAAGGGCCGGTTGTTCCAACCTTTTGGTAAACTAACTAATAGTTAAATCATATATGTCTTTGTTTATCCTTTACATTAGACAAAGATAGACATATGATTTAACTATTAGTTAGAATTAGGAAAGAGATTAGAGAAATGCCTCCTACAAAACGTACGCGATACATTATAGAAGCTTTATTGACAGTTTTAGTGGATTAAAGCAGATCTTATGTGAAAGAAATCCGCCCGGATGCTGCGTGTCTCGTTTCTGATACCTTTGCATATCAAATACTGCAGACGTTGATGTAGATAAATAGTAGAAATGTGCGAACCATTTGAATTCGAATTTATATGATTCGAATCCGAACTATTCGAAAATTGTGAATCTAGATGATTCGAATACGAATCATATTGTATAGTCTCAAATTATAAAATCATATTTCCCATTAATAAGCAAAAGTACGGTCATGTTAATAGGTGCATTCAGTGAATACATTCAGTATTATAACCACTCACTGAGCGGCTAAGTAGCACTTTATTTCTTATTTTTGGCATACGCTATATGACTCTATCAAATTGTAAATAAGTTGGAATATGCGTAAAAAAAAATAGTAAGCTATGAGTATCGATAATAAAATAAACTATAATTATTTTATTTTAATTTCTATGTATGTAATTGGGTAATGATATTAGATATTACATTAATAACAGTATTTTAATAATTTATTTATGATTTTTGGTCTAATTGTTTCAGTTCACTGCGACATTAAAATAAAGTATATTTTATTAATTTTATTAAATATTTAAATGGTTCAATATTAACTACTTTTATACCTTTATCATATCAAATCTTTTATCTTTTGGCCAGATCGGACTTACCTTTGTCGATGGCTATACATATATAATCTGGTCGCATTTTGACCAGATCACAATGAAAGGAGAAAAATTCCTTCCATTATCGGATCATTATCATTGCCGACAAATAATATTACGTTATTCGATTCTAATTACGACCATCGATCGTATCAAAAAACACGCGAGAAGTTAATTTACAAAAAAAATATTAATTTATAAAAATTAACTGCACAAGTTTGATAAAAAATATTTCTATTAGATATTAAGGTTGTATGACCCCTTAGAAGAAAAAATGCCAAATTCTTCAAATTTTGTCAGGTGATGAGTATTATAATAATAAAGCATTGTGCCAAGTTTGAACAAGTTTGCGAGGCCCGTTCAAAAGTTATAACAATTTGAATTTAACATGGGCTCTTATGGGAATTCATCAAGTTTCACTGTTTTTTCAACTTCATTTGAGAAATTAATATCGAAGAAAATATGGCATCCTTTTAAAACTTTGCAGAAATATTAATAAACATCTTACAAACAAATTAGAACCAAAAAAATTATGACTTCGAGGATATTTTCTGAAATATTGAATAAAAACCAAACAGAGAACAGTCTCGCTTGGTCTCACCAGAGAGAAACCTGAGAGCGGCCATCCCGCTTCGGGGGACGCCTGTCCTAATCTGCCCTCTGAGAAAGTGGACGTCAACTACGGCGTTACGCTAGGTAACGATCAGAGAGATCTCGGGTAACGATACATGGGTTCGTATCCGTGCTATGGTTCGTGTCCGAACTACTCAGATGGAGGGGATGTGTTGGTCGCGCAAGCCCCTCCTCTGTCAGTGTACGCTCGGCACTCGGCAAGCTTCGTACGGGGAGAGAAGGGCAGACATACGATCTGCTGTTTCCTTCTCTCTTGAGCTGTTAGAGGCCACGCATTTCGGGTATCGCCTCTCATGTCTCGCCGAGTGCCGAGTCTCGAGTTGGCAAATCGACGATGCGCTATGTTACATTTATGTTTATATTTACGAGTTTTAATTGTTATATTTATAAATATTGCAATTATATTTACAAAAAAATTGCAAATTAATAAATAAATTTTATTAAACATAAAATCGCGTATGATCATGTACTTCCGTAATTTTTGTACCGTTAAAATTAAACATAAAATTAATTAATTAAATAAATATTTATAAACATAAAAACTAAAATTCGTAAATGTAATGTATAGAAATTCCCGTTCTGGCCAATATGCTTTTTTATCTAGAAAAAGTCATATTAAAAACATTAACTTTGGGATAATATTTAAATTTAATATTTAAATGCATAATAAT